TTCTGGTAACTCCCCAACAAAGGGTCAAAGTTTCGAATAACCGAAACAATTATTAAATCCGATAAAAGCATCCGTTTCTCTTCATATTTCACCCATCCCATTATTTCTACTAACACAAGATCTGCTGTGAAGTTGGGATATATCAGTCCACTATTTCTGGTACCTCTCTCACAAAGGGTCAACATTTCGAATATTCATGAAGCTGATAAAACGCAAAATTAACATCCGATTCCATTCAGACTTGACAAATCTCAATATTTTTATCACCACAAGATCTGTTATAGAGATCTGACCATATCTTCTGGTACCTCCCCACAAAGGGTTCAAAATTTTGAAAAATAAAACGCGAATTAAGCTTCCATCTGTCTTCAAATTTCACAAATTCAACCGTTTGTGCTAACTCAAAATGTCATAACTTGAAAAATAAGTTGGCGATTCTATACAAATTGCTATATCTATATCTATTTTCCAAAAATTTGCACATATAAAGTATAGGAAGTAGACGATATAGTCGAAATATTTAGTTAGTTAGTTAGTCTTAGGTTAGATACGAATTGAAAATCCTCCCGCATAGAGGGTCAACAGTTAAAATAATCATAACTCAAGGCTGGGGTTTACATCTATCTGCAAATCCGACTGATACTATAGAACTTGTTCAAATAGCCAAAGTTGTATAATCACAACATTTTTTTAAGTCCCCTTTCATATGTATTTTCTCAATCGTGCTCTTTCACTGATAAAAATTCAAGTTTCATAATGAGAATAATATAAATTTCCAGAAAACATTTTACACAAAATAACTGTGCATTTACACATTAATATTTCCCTATTGATGGTATGTAATCAATGTGATTGCGTTCCAATGGAAATAACCTCTTCTTGTCCATAACAGAAGAAAAACAATATGTTTCAATTCATATTTCGGAAAAGGTTTTTCTTGGCCTACTTTCTTCTATGCGATACTGGTGAGATATGAATATGATACTTCGATTATTTCTAAGGGTTTCCAATCTCAATACAAGGTTGAGTCACTTTTTAAGGATTCCATTTACCCCACATTAAATATTACTCACTTCTTCTTTGGCATAAAAACAGAAAGAATACATTTCTCCTCACTTAAAAATACTTGGACAAACACATTCTCTCATATTCTCTACTCAACATGCACAACATTTTGTTTGGCACCCATTTCCATTAATTTTTCTTTACTCTCTGTTTACACTTAACTCGTTATTATCCATTTTACGTTTCTCGGAAATGGTTCATCCAATCATGTGCCTCAATGCCCTGTGGCAATGCTCGGTGACCAATCATTGTCTTGAGCGTTGCACTCATTCACTCATTCAAGGTCGAATTCAATTGAGAACTTTTGTGTGTTGGTGGAATGAGTGATTGTGTGCGTGTACACTGTACAGCATCAGCATCTTTAGAGGCAAGATCCGACTTCATGAATGAAATATTTGAAATGTTGGGCAAAAGTGTTTGTTAAGCGTGAAATTTGTTAGCTAATGAGAATGGAATAATGGCGCCATTGTCGGTGTAGTTATGAGGAGAATATTGCGAACTGTATGTCTTAAGATAAAAACATATTTATAATTTGTTGGTACATACATAAACTGATGAATTTTTCTTGATTTTTTAGTCACACACATACTGATGTTTACGTATAATTTATTTTCTTAAATAATTTGCTCTATTAATAATTATTTTTGCAGACAGATTTATACCCTAAGCATATGGTTTTCAGTTGACCCGACGTATGTTAACCATTGTGTATATAAGAGTCTTCTAAAATACATACAATGTAATCGGGAGTTTTCATCATGTGAATATTATAATATAAATAAAATTTATGCCCATAACTTTCCGCTATTGGAATGTTAAAAAAAACCTTGGTATTTTATTATTATCGTTGGGGTCTTTTCAACTTCTTCAGGAGTGTTTATTTTAGAATCCTATTCCTTCATAGAACAAGAATCCAACCCTGGGTAGTTGAATAAACGATACTATTATTGCCACAGACTTATAGACAAATGCCTAAAAAAAATCATCAAATACTCCATTCTAGTAAGACTTTTGGTACATTTTGAAGCGCACAGTATTTCAAGATTCTAGGTCAAAGAGTAGATAGTTTCAATATAGAAACACATTTTTTGTAAATTTTTGGACTTAATACCTTTTGGCTCAAATTGCCATATAGAATGCAAATTGGAGATTTTTTTAGTTCCCAATAAAGAAGGCCAAAAATTAGGGAGGAGAAACCTATATGGAACCTTACACTCCTATGCATTGAAGCATTTTTAATTTGAATCGAAGGAAACTAATATATGGGAGGTATATCCAGGGAGGCATTTGTACCTACCAAATAACATTGTTAGATATATAGGAACATCCTTTCACCAAATAAGTCGAATTAATTCGGTTGGATGTGCACAATATTACATATTTGGTGCACAATATTAATGAAATCGGATATATGTGGAAGTTATGTCCAAATCTGAATAAAATTTGAGGGCTGTACCTGATATCAGGTACCAAATATTACGAATTTGTGAGACTTAAATACCAAATCGGATGAAACACATATATGGAGCTATATCCAAACCGAGTTTCACAACATTTCAAGTATTCTCTTTTAGGCTGAATTTGATGGGATGTGCCGAAATCCATCCTATTTGGATGAATATTACACATGTGGCCCACATTTTTTATATTTAAAATTTAATTTAAAATTTACAGCCATGGTAAAATTAAGAAGCCATGCTTGTTTGAAATTACTTTTTTGAAATAAGCACATTCATCTCTGCATTTTCTGTAATTTACTTTGCCAAGTTTCACAATATGGCAAACAGGTTCCCATCTCTGATTTAGGTATATACGATGGTTTTATTTTGACCATGAGATGTTGTCCAATTAATAATTTGGAAAAAAATATGTTATTGGATGGCTTTACCTACTTAATTCTACCATGTTCACAGGTTTTTGAGAGAAAGACATTTGCGTTTTGAGGTAAAAAAAAAACGTAGCCATGTTAGGAACTCGTGTGTGTTGTTCATTTGTTTTCATTTTTTCGTGATTTTGAGTTCAAATATTATGAGTTCCAAAATTGGAAGTTACAAAATTTTAACTTAGGGTATTGCTTTCCGCATTTAATCAATGTACCCTTACTTAATTTCATTGAAATACACTTCCAAGGTTTGGAAAAAGTTCTACAATCAGAGAACAGACAAATATCATTTAAACACTATATAATTGAGAAATATTGAGATATGGTAAAGTTGAAGACAATAATTCCCATTAGATTTGACATTTGAGTTAGAGTTCCCCCACACTATGGAGGGTATATTAACTTTATCATTCCGTTTTGTGACTCCTCAAAATACTCATGTCAGACCCAACAAAGTATATGAATTCTTGATCAGCGTAAAAATCTAAGTCGACTTTGGCTGCTTGTCTGTTTTAATCACGCTATCTTTCGAACGAATTGAGATGGAAGGCTAAAATTTTGCACATTTGCCAGTTAAGTTCATGTCGGTCCACGTTTTCGTATAGCCATATAAGGGTATTTCTCAATATTCGCTATTTTGATGATTTTTTTGATTTTAGCGACATTATAGATGGGGATCGTTTCAAATTTCATATTGGAAGATCTTAAAGAGTACCAAAACCTATAGCAAAAAATTACTTATGCAGGTCCACTTCTTCGTATTTCTCCGGAAATTCGGTGTTTTTATGGTATCAGAGATATTATAGACAGGAATTGTTCGAAATTTCGTATTTAAAGTGCGTAATGTATACTACGGCCTGTGACAAAAAATTGCGTATGTAGGTCTACGTCATCGAATAGTCACTAAATAACGATAGGTCCCGATATTCGGTATTTTGATGATTTTAGTAACGTTATTCACCAGAATTGTTTTAAATTTCGTATTTCCATGACAGAAAATTGTCTATGCAGGTCTACGTTTTTTTATACCCCACATATAACTGTACCTCCGTTTTCTTCGCTATTTGATGATATTAGCGACATTATTAATCGGAATTGTTTTACATTTCGTATTTGAAGGACCTAATGGGTACTACAGCCCCATTGAACGGTTATTAATTTAGATGTAATACAAAACGGTATTATTCGATGTTTTTTTTACAGTTTTTTTTCGACTTTTCGAGTTTCTAAACGGTGAAGGGTATTAAAAAAGTTCGACCCAGCCGAACTTGGGTACATTTTTACTTGTTTTTATTTCTTTTAATTTTTGAGAGTTTGTTTACAAGTGGCATTACTATTGGTGAGTATATTGATTATATCTATCTTGTCTTTCTAATCGAACAATAATTTAAACAAATATTATAAACTCTGACCATACTTTCGAATAATGAAACTGTACTTGAATCGAAAATCTTATTTTGAAATTAGTCTCCAAAGTCAGGAATAAACAAAACAATTGTTTTATAAACAATACAAAAGGATTCGAGTCCTTGCATCCTTACCTTATTGTTACGAGACAAAAACAACAAAACAACTCACAGAATAATTGCGTTAAAATAGACCATTCACTCAAGAAATAACAAAACCAACAGCAATTTAATCCCATCAACGAGTCAAAATTGATTTGAATAGCACTTGTTGACTTCTTGTGGCTGGCGAAAAGAAAAAACCAAAACCCTGGTGGGTATTGACTACAGCCAACCAAAATATTTTGGCTCAATGAGCAGCAACACAAGTCCACCCTCCATATTTGAAATGTGCGCGCACATGTTTTTCTCTTTTGGCAACTCACTCCATTCGCCATGGGGTGTATTTTGCTGGTGATACACACAAGGATGTGGCTGGGCAAGGGGGTGTTAAAAATAGAACAACCTCTTCAGTTTGTGGAGGAAAATATGTACATTTCATATGGAAACTAACTCAAGAGCAGAGATTTTTGAGTGATTTCCGAGCGGGAGTACGATCACTATAAAAACTGCTCGGGGTCAGAGAAAAGTCAACAAACACAGTGTTCTCCTCGTGAAGTGAAGTTGGTTCACGGAACAAAAATTGGGTTAAGAAAAATCATTTCAAAATCTTGAGAATATTAAATTCCATAAAAAACAAAAATGCTAACAAATATGGAAAGTGCAAACAGTGCCATATCCGGTATCGGCAAAGTGCTTACCACCCCCTTTTCGATCAATGACATTTTGACGCGAAATCACGCCAATGAAAGACGTCTCTCACGCACCGATTCGGAATTGGAATTGTCCGCCGTGAATATGCGAAGTGAAGAGCCGCGGTACAAATGCAATCTTACCGTGTCCGACAGTGTTTCGAATTCCAGTCCCTCGGAAATAAAAATGGAGCCATCAATGAAATCCGCTGGATACAGATCACATTTCTATGCAACGTCGGCGGGTAATTTGGATAACAATAACCATTCGGATTATATGTCACACAAGTTGGGTTACTTTGGTGCTGCGGCGGCTGCCTTGGCCGCTGGCCGTCCTGAATGTCCCCTGGATATGAGACGCTGTGCCAGCAATGATTCCGGTAAGTTGAAAGAGCAGTCATTTTTGTACAATGAAAATGCATTACGGATTCCAAAAAACGGAGTTCGACAATGTCCTGAAATAATGTTGGCAATTTACTTATCAAAATCTTTTTTGTTTTTTTAGATTGTGATTCTCCACCCCCATCGTCGGGTAATGCCAGCGGCCATTATACTTCGCCAGGAAATGATGGCTCCTTGTCTCCTCTGCAAGATGACATGCAATCGGGCAGCATGGCCCGCAAGAAGCGTTCCCGGGCTGCCTTCAGTCATGCCCAGGTTTTTGAGTTGGAACGTCGTTTTGCCCAACAACGCTATCTGAGTGGTCCGGAACGCTCCGAATTGGCGAAAACTTTGCGCTTGACTGAGACCCAAGTTAAAATCTGGTTCCAAAATCGCCGTTACAAGACCAAACGCAAGCAAATCCAACAACACGAAGCTGCTCTCATGAATGTTGCCGCCAGCAAACGTGTTCCCGTTCAGGTTTTGGTGCGTGAAGATGGCACCACCACATATGCCCATATGTTTCCTCATGCCGCTGCTGCCGCCGCTTATCCACATGGTTTGGATCCCACACTCCTGAATATCTATCGCCATCAACTGCAAATGGCCTACGGAGTGGGAGTACCGCAAATGCCATTCCCCTACTTTCCCTATCCACATGCTGGACCAAATGGAAAAATTCCTCAGCCCATTCCTCCACCAGCCGGCGGTCATGGTGTCCAGCCACAACCCTTGAATAACGCAACCAGCCATTATCTGAATCATTCATCAGCCTCGTCATCGCCCACCCATCTGAATCACTGCACACCGAGTTCCAGTCCCAATGGCAACAACAACCACAACCACTCTGCCAACAATACATCCTCTGTCAAATATGAGCTGTCCTCCATGGACCAGGATAGTGAAACTCAATCGGGGTCTGAAGATTGTGAGGAAAATGTTGAAATTGATTAGATAGCCAACTTTGGCAAGGACAGAGGGGTTTGCCATGTAGCGGAGTGGCAACATATTTTGCATGTGATAGAAAAAAGTTTTAATTTTTTTGTTTTTGTAAATTATTTTTTATTAATTTTTTTAGTTAGTTAAAATTAGTGAAATTGTTTTAAATGATACGTTTCCAAGATTTACAGCTATGTAATTAACACCAAAGATTAGTTCCGTAAGTTACCGTTAAGTATTCCAATATTGGCCTTAAGGGGCCAGTAAAGATACAGTATTAGCATATTTTATTGTTGTAGGATAGATTTTAAGACGGAAATATGCCAAAAATTATATTTGAAATTAAAAAAAATAATAAATAAAAATTGATATATAAAAGTAAATAAATTTAATTTAAATTTTATTGAAATTTTTACTTCTCATTGTGAAATGTCGAAAAATTCATAAAAGGCTTAAAGAAGCTACACGGAGAATCAATTTTTGGACGATAAAAATAAACAAATATCTTCTTTTGAATTAAATTGATTTTTAGAAATAAAAATGTTTCAGAACCTACAAGAATCTACTAGTTTTGCTAATTTTTCCGATATCATCGTAGTAAATAGACCCACATCCTTATAGTTCTGGAACAAAGCAGTTATAGCAAAGAGCTTTTTATTCGGAGCATTACTGGTAAAATAGCAGTATTTAAACCTTGAAAATTGTTGGGAGAAGATAGTAAAAACTGTTTAGCAGCAATCACTATAAAACCAGTTTTATCTCGAGTGTTTGATGTAAGCTGAAGCACTGGTTATTAAAATTTGGGAGAACCTGGGTCATCCTAACTTTATGGGATATTTCAAAAAGTCTTTCTGACATACAAGTTTTTATTGTTCTGGTTTTTAAACCAATCTTGCTTCTTCGTAGTCAAAGTGGAACCAAGAGTTCTTAATGCCAGGAAAAATATCTGAAATTTTAAAAATCCACATGAAAGTTGTTCATTTAGAAATCGACAGTATATTCTTTAACTAAGGAGGTGGTGGTAGATTTTACCCTCTCTTCACATTTTGTTGAAAATCTCGACTATTGCTATGATTAAAGTACCAGTTTTGCTTAAATGAAAAAAAAATAATTTTTTTTTATTTTTTTGCAAAATTAAGAGGGTTAAAATTTCTGACCACGTCATAAAACACGTCCCAAAATTTCACCTCGACAGTTAAAGGATATTTATAAACATAAAGCAACTTTGTACTGAAAATACTACTCTACACAAAAAAGTTTTTACCTAATACGCAGCATAATTATTTACATAGTTCTGTGGCCTGAGTAAAGGCCAAATAAAAAATATGTTTTACAACATCGTTTAACACCAAAACTTTTTATAGAGGATACAGAATTGCTACTAACCACCAATCATTAGATTTCGAATTGTTGATGTTAGACTAATCAAATCAAATCAAATCAAATCAAATCGAATCAAATCAACAAGAAATACGAACAAGATTTATTTTCTTTGGAAACTGATCGCCAAAAACAACAAACATTGTCTCGGGAAATGTTGTAAACAAGACAGCAGCGAGCTGTTGGTTTCCTCTGCCAACAATTGTTAAGTATTTAGCAAAGCAACGCAGTAAAAGAATGGAGGGAGAATTTCAAAAATACGCAGACAATAGATAGCACTTCGATTTACTTTTGCTATTTTTTATGTGAACAATGAAAGCCTTTCCCGATACTCTAGAAGGAGTTTGGTGAGTAAATATGGCTGGAAAACTCAATAATAATACGACTAAAAATTTCAGCAATCTGAAACAATAATAATATGCACATTTCTTGCTATAAAATTATGCAAACATCACCTGAAAAATCAAATGCGAATGTAAACCAAAGCGAAATTTTTTCCAACAGCTGGAATTGATCTTCCCAGAAGGTACGCAAATGGAAAATTAATAAAAATTTCAAAATTGACTCTGAGAGGGATTTTTATATACCCACAGTCATATGGTTAGAGAGGGTATATGTCATTTGATACGGCCAAGACGTGTCTCATCGAAGTAACGGTTTTAGAACATAGGTCCCTTTGGACCAAATCCGTTTCAGGATATTTGGAGTCGATCTAGCGATGTCTGTCCATCCGTTCGTCTGTCTTTCTGGCTGGTGCGCACCATAACTCTCGAAGGGAGTATTCGATTTGGTCTAAACTTCGTACATCGCATGGTACAATAAAAAGGTAAGGTAGAGCTCCCAGCTGATTACAATTTTTTTCTAAGTGTGCCGACTTCTGCCAATTTTGTGTATGTATTTGTTGTTTTGAAAAATAAAAACGAAAAATTTTGAAAATCAATGATTGAAAGAAACTTAAATTTCTGGGCGCGCATTAATAATATTAACCAGATTTGCCATAGAATTGAAAGATTGAACACGTAGGATCATATTTTTGAGAGAACGTCCAGGCATTTCATTCATCTTTCGGAATACCTCCTTATTGTACCATGGTACATCGTAATATTATTATCAAACTTAAATCGGGTTCGGGTATGGCCAATATCGGTCCACTCCTTCTGGTATCTCCCCCACAAAAATTCGATTCAGACTTGGCAAATCTCAATTTCAATTTTATCAACATAAAATTTCTGATAAAATGGTAGAGATCGGACAATTCTTTGTGGTACCACCCCCACAAAGGGTCAAAGTCTTGAATATCCAAAATATCCCATTATTTCTACTAACACAAGATCTGCTGTGAAGATAGAATATATAAGTTCACTCCTTCTAGTACCTCCTCAACAAAGGGTCAACATTTGTAATAATTATAACTCTCATAAAATGTACTTCAAACAAGAGCCCGATTGTCTTCCGATTACTCACATCACTATATTTTTATTAAAGGTCGGGTGTGAAGATGGAATATATCGGACCACTCCTTCTGGTACCACTCCTTCTGGTACGTGAAATTAACATTCGATTCAATTTAGACTTGGACAAGATCTGTTATAAAGATGGTATAGATCTTTCCACTCCTTCAGGTATTTCCCCCACATAGGTTTCAAGATTTTGAAAAACCAAACGCTCAAAGAAAGCAAAACAAGCATTCACATTTCACACATACAAACATTTTTGCTAACAAACATTTTTGAAATAATGTCATAGATTCCTGTCCAGATGTTACCCTTAGGTTTTTGACCCGGGGAATTTGGTCAATATATATGTACACAATCGTGTTGTTAGGTATTCAAAACAATTTCACACGAAAGTTGTGGCCAATTTTACAGCTGAATATAATCCAATGGTCATCCAAAAAGCTAGACTTCTTCCCTGTATTTAGCTCTCTTCTAATGCGAAATTCCGTATCGATTGGTTTTGAATTGTGGCCTATAGAGTAACTACAAAATTAGACAGATTTATTTTTTTAGTCAATTTAAATTTATAAATGTAAATCTTAAAAACAATAGGCCTTAATTCTGATGATAACCCTAACCCATGCAAAATTTCGTGAGGATCGGACGATAATCGCGACATGTATATAATACCCTCAAAACGAAGTGTTGTAGGGTGGAAAAATTTATAAAATTTACCATTAAAATTTGGAAGTCAAATTGAAAAAATCGCATGTGATAAAAAACATGACAAAATGAACGATGAATTTATTAGGGAAATCTTTTGCAAAAAAATGTAACTGAAGTGTAGTATTTGCTCTCGGAAACTGAAAATCAAATTGGAAAAGAAAGCGACTAAGTGTTAAGGTAACAGAAAGCAGCTATAAAGACCAACAATAAAATAAAATGGCAAAAATTTTCAAAAATTAACTTTTCCAAAATTAATTATTATTTATACTATAACAAAAATAAGCTTCATATAATATTACTTTTCCAAGCTTATTCTACAATCAAGGTTTATGTTCTTAAGCTTATTATAATATTCTCAAGCCATTTTGGTATATTGGGAACATGTACCGTGTGTGAATGTATTAATAGATTCTTATAGGTATCTACATATTTCTCTTTTAGTCGCATACTTTTAAAAACTCACCTTCAATGTCTATCCTTAAATGTCGAAAACAAAGTAAACAAACACTCGCATTAACCGATGCTACGTACACGAACGAAATTAGGTAGAAGAAAGAATTATTTTTTTATTTCGATTTGTAACACACTTCCAGAGCGCGTTCTATTTTGAACTTTTGATTTTCTCTTTACTACTCCCTTTTTTACTCTTCACAACACTTATCCAACAAAACACCGATATTCTGCCATTTAATATGATATGCCATTTGACAAGATTGATAATATATTTTCATTAACAATTTACAACACATTATTGAATACACAAGCTTCCATTTAAACAACAACATAATTGCCCACATATATTTTGCAAATTTAAAAGCAATTTAACATTATTTAACACTTTTTAAACTTTTTTTATTGCAAATAGTCTGGAGCCCACCGAAAACCTTGCGAACGAATTTAAAGTCTAACAAAAACTAACTCCAAATTTGACAGTCATTTCCAGTGCAAAATAATAACGGCTTATGCTCTTTTCACTCTGAGTACGGAATTCAAGGGGAGCCATTTATGGGGAGAAGAGAAATTCAACTGCGTTTGCAAATGCAATGATCACAGAGAGGCTTGGCCTTTTAAGAGAGTTGTTTAAATGGGGGAGAAATGAAACAGGTGTTGTTATTGTTTATCGAATAACTTCAGGTTTGTGAGAAAACATAGGGAAGAAGTGTGAGATTTAAGTCCTGACTCAGGAGTAATTGGTGGAAAATAATTGGGAGGAAGTGGGAGAATTTTTTTATGAGTGTTGAGAAGATTATTAAAGAGAAAATAATTGTATTTTTTTATTTTTGCCATTACAGTGGTCAAAGAGAATTAGCCGTCTCACTCGGAATAGAATAAAGCAGGAATTGAAAGGGAATATACAGAAATCTGATTTCCTTTTTAGAATCACGGTTGCCATATTTTAGTAACTTTTTGGGACTGATAAGTAGGGTTTCAGTTTGGTAATTTTTTTAGATAATTATTTTTGAAAAATGTCGAAATATGTGCGAGGGACCAGATTTAGTGTACCGAAGTGTGTACATGTCATCCGATACTGATAAAAATACTGGGATGTGCAAAACTTAAAGAAATCGCACAATCTTTTCCAATTTTATGAAATCACATATGTCTCTTGTTCAGATATATTTTGATATTTCAAAAATCTCTGACTTGTTTCGCAAGTTAAGAGAGACATTATTATTGAAAATGTTAACCCTTTGTGAGGATCGTACCATAAGAGTTGGTCCGATTTGCATCATCTTCATACCTGATCTTTTGTTAATAAAATTATTAAAATATCTAAAATTTGAAAACAATCGGATCGGATTTTTTCGCATTGTATGAGAGATATAATTATCCAAAATGTTGACCCTTTGTGGAGAAAGTAGTTTATGGTAAGGCCCGATATTGTCCATTTTCGCATATAACCTTCTTAGTTCTTCTTAATTGATATGAGGTTACCTTAATTATGAAGGCCTTGTTTAAACTGTTATATTTCAATGACAGTTTTATAAATTGTTGTTATTTTTTAGGAATATCTTTTAATTGAACTCGACTGTAACAAAAAATATAAAATATTTGAAGTTATTTTTTTTAAATAATTTATTTGTGATGTCAAGAATATTTCATTTTTCATAAGAAATGATAATCACGGAATTCATTAATTCAAGCGTGAGGAACTCGTTTTTTTGCTAAATATTTGTAATAAACTCCCCTTCCTATTTATTCAGGATCCAAGCACATTCATGGAAAAATTTTGTAGATCAATACATCCCGATTTGGATTTGGGAACAACGTGCATTAACTGGTTTCGACAGGCCACAACCAAGTGCTCCACTCTAATGGCGAATGTTAAGGACCCAACTAAACACCTCTGGGCTTCGCTAATGGATTTCATATTTCCCGAAAGGCAAACAGGACTCATTTCAAAACAAATACCATTAACGATGCATCCACACCATTTGACTTTAGACGATTGCCAGTCACTGTTCAATGACATAGTCGAGGATTATGTGAGGAGAGCTCCCCGTTATTCAGAAGAAACCAAGACAGTTGTCAGGTTATGGCAGATTTTGTATTCCATGGTGGGAATAATGTTTTTGCTGTCATTGCTATTGTTTGTGAAATATCTTCATGGAAGAGGAAGAAGGCCTCTCAAAATAGCGGCCAAAGCAGAGGAATGTTCACATCCTACCAAATGTCTGCAGGCTGCAGCCAGGAGAAGTTTAAATTTGGCCAAATGTGAAAATCGCCATCTACGTGTTCTGCCGTTGGTTCAGCCGGCTGAACTCATTACTCCTGATGGAGCACCGGTTTTGGCCATAAAACTGAAATCGAAATATGATCTGATAGGGTCGAAGAAGATTTTGGGTACTATGGAGGCTGACAGCAGACTATATAGCGCACTAAAAAATGATGAAAGAGCTTTGAAAGAATGCAAAATTCAAACCATTGCAAAGGCTTTGGAAATTATTGGCAACACGACAAGAAAATTACATTTGTTAATATGTTTTGAAGATGATGCCATCTTTGAAGAAGAAATTCTTGAGAAAACGAAGGTGGAAGAACTTATCCCACAAAAGAGCAAAATTCCCGTAATTCCAAGTAAAATAAAATCGCCGACTAGTCTTCGAAGAAAAGCTTCACCCAAAACATCGGGGGTGGAAAATCTTGGCAAGAGCTCTCCACGTTTTGGGGGTAACGTAAATAGAAAGCCGGTTGATTCGATAGGAGATTCTGGTTCTCCACGTTCAAGTTTTATTAGCAAAAGAAGTTCTGTTATGTCCACCGCATCATCACCGTCGCATAGTCCTCGGAAAGCCATAGCTGTACAAAAAAATCGTAAGACCTCCCAAAACACTTCACCAAGAAAATAGAAAAAAAAAAAACTTGTATTTTTTTTTTTGAGTTGTGAACTATGTTATTCATACTTCAAATACATTTTTTTTTTAATTTGTGAAGTTTTGTCTGGTCTTTTTGATTTGTGAAAATATTTTTATTTTATTAAAGCAATATATTAAGAAGGATTTTTAGCAGTTCTGTTTGAAATTTATTATACAATCTGTGATCTGTGAGGTATAAAGTTGTGATCTATATTCCGATTAAATCAAATTTAAGTGATAATTGAAGATTTTTAGCTGGAAAGGGAATACCAATCCGTAATCAGGAATTTTCTGTCAATACAAAGAAAGATGCTCAATCACCAATATCAATCATGTAAGTAGAATAAAATACAGAAAATGGCTATGCATATATTCAAATGTAATTTAATCCGGGGAGTTTACGTTTTTGGTCTTTGTGGAGTTTTAAGAATAAAATTAGTTGTAATTCCATTTGGGGGAGGATGCGTAATAGCAACAATAGAAACAAAGTTTATAGGAAATTATTGTTATAATAGGGGTGATTATCTCTTTGGATAAAATCCGTTTAGAGTCAGTTCGCACGATAACTCAAGAAGGAAGTATCCGATTTGGTTCGAAACTTAAAAATATTTTTCTGCAGCTACGAACCTATGTAGAAGTAACTTTGAACTTAATATTAAGTCAATCAATTCCTTAAAATTTTAAAAATTATAAAAATATCCTCTACTAAAATTAAATCTTTTCTTAAACTAAGAGAGCGATTCTATAAAAACCCAGACTCTAATTTCTAAGTCACGGCGTTTAATTTGTATTATATTTTTCTCAGTGCTAAGTAATGTGGACATTGATAAAAGAAGAATAGTAATTTACTATTTGCTTAAGCTTTAAAAATAGTTACCAAATTAAAAACCTAGGTACCAACCACAAAAAAGTTACCAAACTGTGGTTAGTGTGGCAACCTTGGCACTAACTTGTTAGACTAGAAAAGGAAATCAGATTTTTGCATATTTTCTTTTCACTTCCTGCTCTGTTCGATACCGAAAAAGAGATCTAATTCTCTTTGTCCATTGTAATTGCAAAAAAAAAAAAAATACAACTCTCCAATTAAACTCCATTATTTTCCACCACTACTCCCTCTTCCGTCACACATTATTCCTCAAATTCCGAAGTTTATCGATAAATAATAACAACACCTGTTTCGGTTCTCTCTCATTAAAATTTCTCTCGTGAAGGGTCAAGCCTCTCTGTGATCATTGCATTTGCAAATGCAGTTGGGATTCTCTTCTCCACATAAATGGTTTCCTCTTAATTCCATACTCAGAGTAAAAAGAGCATAAACCGTTATAATTTTGTTCAACAAACGAATGTCAATTTTGGAGTTAGTTTTTGTTAGACTTTAAATTCGTTCGCAAGGTTTTCGGTGGGCTCCATACAATTTGCATTAAAAAGTGGTTTAAAAGTGCTAATTAATCCTTATATTCAGTTTAAATGTGCAAAATACATTTATGTGGTTCTTTAAAAGAAGGTTTTTGTTTTCAAGAATATGTTGTAAAGAGCAAATGAACAGATATCTAGTTTGCCAATTGGCTATATGAAATGGAAGAATGCCATGTTTTGTTTTGCTGTATGAGTGCAATAATAAAGGGGTGGGGAGGCGAAACCACCATTTGAAACAAATCAAAACGAGTTTGGTTTAGTGATGCGTCGAATGTTGAGAAATAGTTAGGGAAGTGTGTTGAATATTGATATGACAAATGAATAAGTGCTTTATTGTTATCGTTTCGTTCGTGCATGGAGCCTCGGTTAACGCGAGTGTTCGTTTACTTCGTTTTCGGCATTTAAGGGTATACATTGCAGGTGAGTTTTCCATATGTATAATACGACAAAGAGATATTTATATACATATCATGATTTATGAATGTATTAAAGAATCTATTAAGAAATTGGTCCGTCTGGTTAGGAATTGTCAAGCAGATTCGTTCTGAGGGAGTAAGATAGTTTTATTGCCTTTTGCATGTAAAATGTGACAAGTCTGCAATTAAAAGAATCTAAGCACAAAAAGAAAAAAAAAAAAAAACAATAAATAAGCAAAAAAATGTGCGACTTCTCACTCTTGCACAAAAACAAAACTCTAGATTCCAAAAAAAAAAACGAAGATGGAGAAGTGCTACAGACAGAACTAATATTTACTGTATAACTTTTACAAGCCCACTAATACCGCGTGCTGCGTTGCTAGTGACATTACATACAAAATTTACCACATTTCCCACCATGATAATATTTTTGGTACGACCTTATTTCCCAAATACGCAAGGTCCATATATTTAGGCAACCAAATAAAATCACAGCAAAATTTTAAAAAATCATTTTTCATTCACATTTTTGTATAATTCGTTGTATTTTCGACATACAAATTACCAAAACACAAGTTATTTTAAAAATGTTACCAATTTTGGTAGAATTTTGCCAACTATGGCATCCGTAATTCTAACTTCTTCATATTGAAAAGGAAATCCTATTTTTCTATTCTCTTTTACTCTTTTCTCTATTCATAACCAAGTGAGAAGACCAACTCTGACCTCTCTCCATAAGTGTCCCCAACACTCATTACCAAAATATCTCATTCTCTTCAAAGTAAAGGAAATCGTTTTCTTTCTTCTATTCCCTTTTACTTCCTGCCCTAGTTAAAAGAGTGTGAGATGACTAATTCTCTTTGACCATTGTAAAAACAACACACAACTGCGTTCTCATCAGAAATGTCCCCAACACTTATCAGTAAAATTTCGCATTCCCCTCCAATTATGTTCCCTTACTCACTCACACTTCCCGACATGTTATTCTCCATATCACGAAGTTCATTGATAAACAATAACAACACCTGTTTCAGTTCTCCCTTATTAACATTTCTCTCGCGAAGGGTAAAGCCTCTCTATGATCATTGCATTTGCAAATACAGTTGGATTTCTCTTCTCCACATGAATGGCTCCCCTTGAATCCCATACTCAGAGCAAAAAGAGCATAAACCGTTATAATTTTGTTCTTGAAATGACTATCAAATTTGGAGTTAGTTTTTGTTAGACTTTAAATTCGTTCGCAAGGTTTTCGATTGGCTCCATGCAATTTGCAATAAAAATTGTTAAAAAGTGTTTAATAATGTTTATATTTAGTTTAAATGTGCAAAATACATTTATGTGATTCTTTTAAAGGAAGTTTTTGTTTTCAAGAATATGTTGTAAAGTGCAAATGAACAGATATTATCTAGTTTGCCAATTGGCGATGTTTTGTTGTATGAGTGTGAAGGGAAAGGGATGGTGAGGCAAAACCACAATTTGAAACAAATCTAAACAAGTTTGATTTTGTGGTGCTTCGTATGTTGAGAAATAGGGAAGTGTGTTGAATATTGATATGACAAATAAGTTCTTTCTTCTTTCGTTTCGTTCGTGTATGGAGCCTCGGTTAACGCGAGTATTCGTTTACTTCGTTTTCGGCAATTAAAGGTAGACAATGCAGGTGAGTTATTATGTATTTTATATAGCAGAGAGAAAAAGATACATACTATCATATGATTTATGAATGTATTGAATTTCAATATATTTACTAAGTAAAGAATATATTAATGAATAGGCTAGGAATTGTCCATCAACTTCATTTTGAGAGAGTATGGTAGTTTTATTCTCTTTTGCAAGCAAAGTGTGAGAAGTAAATAGACTGCCGATTTGCTAACACGAAACAATTGGTCCGCGATACAAAGGAACAATGCATGTATTTGTTTTTGAATTTTGTATTTTACAATATGTGAACAAAATAATGAAAGAGACACTATCAAGAGAATTTTGAAATAAATGTCGTGCGTTGAATTTCTACATATTTTATAATTTTTAATTGATGGTTCCAATCATGACGGAGATTAAAATGCATCAACGTGCATACTTGCAAATCTATGATTTTATAAAATAAAAAATAAAATAATAATGAGCCAAAAAAGAAGAATTTGCAATTTTTGCAGCTTTGTTACTTTTGCTTGTAGACTCAAAAAAAAAAAAAAAAAAATAAGAGGCGGAAATGAGTTAAAATGTCTTGAACGAAACCATTTTTTTTTGCAAGAATTCGCAAAATTTATAAGAATTGCAAGCATTTGTCATCCAGTAACCATTCCCAACATATATTAAACATTTTAGGGTAACCAGACAAAAATAATATACTGCGACTTTTTTGTATAAAACTGTTAACAATTATAGCCACAAATTTTGCGGAAATTTGTTTTATTGAAGATCAGAACCAAAAACTTGTCTGTTTAAAAATATATTTAGAGCATTCAAACTACTATTTAAGTCGTAAATGTTTGGATCATTCTGAAATATTGGTCAAAGACTCGACATATTGATCGATATCGATACATATCATCACATAACAACGAAAAAAGTCGATGTATGTGTTTTAGTCCATCGGTGTTACAATTTAACACAATAATCACTCTTAAGGTTACATTTTTGGACCGAACTTCACGAAATTTTATTTATTTAAAATTGTTTTAAATTGAAGAGTGTTGGCTTGTTAGTTCTAGATACCATAGTATTTTTTTATTGCAAAATTGTCAGGCTTAATCCCTTTATTGTTGTTTTTATAAAAACAGCGTTTTTTAATTAGTGGAGAACGATGGTAATTTTTACCAGGAGATAAGGCAGGGAATACCTAGGTGTCGGAAAGAGCCACCAATCCTCATAAGTTCCCTTGTCTTTTGTCTGGGATATTCTCCCCAGTAGTTATTTTAAAAATAACTTCTATTACAAAAAACTTTTTTATCCAAGTGACGAGCTTACGATCTCAATAGAAGAGGAACCAAAGAATTGCATAGAACTAAAATTGTAAGATTTAGAAGATTTTCCAAAAGAATTTTAGTTTTATGAAATACTTTGGTTTCTCTTCTATAGAGCTAACGATCTCGTCACTTGGGTAAAAAGTATATTTTTTTAATAGAAGTTATTTTTAAAATAAGAGAAGGGAAAATATTCCAGACAAAAAACAATGAGGATTAGTGGCTCTTTCCGAAACCTATGTATTCCTTGCCTTACCCCCTTATAAGAACAACAATAAAGGGATTAACCCTGACCATTTTGGAAC